TAAATTCCAGAAATATGAAGAAGCTATGGAGTGTTACTAAAAAGCAATCTTAATTAATCCTAAAGATGATTCTGCATGGAGTAAAAAAGGTATCTTATGTTTTAATTTAGGAGTTGCATTAAAATTTTAGAAAAAATATATATTAATTCATAAATTCAAGAAGTAAAAAAGAATTATGAGATTCGCCATGGCTGCTTAACAGAATCTCTAAAATATTTTAATAAGGAAACAAAAATGAAGCTAAAGTAATATATATATTTGCATTGGAAAAAGGATCAGATAGAAAGATTATGTAGAGAAATAGTTATAAAAGTTATGAAAAATTATTATATCATAAAATTTATATAATAAATCAAATAAATATTGACAGAAAATGAAAGAATTGTAATAAATATTAATTTTTAGTGAGTATCCATTTGGAAAATTACTGAATTCTAAGGCAGGAAAAATAATAGAAATCAAAGTATCAATGAAAAATAAATATTTTTAATAAGAATATTTTGATTTTAACTAATCAATCAATATGGTTATATGAAATCTAAGTAATAAGATACTTAAATTAAGTGAAAACCTGATTATAGTTACAATTATAGATATAAATTCTAATTAACTAAGAAATATTTAATCATGTTTTAATTGTAAACTAAACTCAACCCAATCAATATTTCACTTAGCATCGCATTTAATAAAATAATTTCATAATATTAAGTAAATGCATTGTAAGATTAATATTTTCTGAATTAGCTTTACCCAATAATCTATAGTTCTCTATATCATTTACTTCAATTTAATCAAATAAATTAAAATGAATTTTAATTTATTTGAAATTAACCAATTATCCCAATCATTTATTTTCTTTATTTATATTTTGAAATTCTATCTTTGGTTAAATTAATGTTAGTTTTTTGAATTAGATGCTTCATTTTTATAATTTTTACTTTATATTATTATTTTAATAAAATAATTTATGATCTTTAATTCTAAAAAATTCATTTTGAAAATAATTTGAATATCTCAAATTAGAGAAAATCTTTAAAAAAAGTGATTAAATTGGAACAATTATTAATTCTAATCCATATTTGACATAATAAAAATGAAAAAATCACCCAATATAATTGAATAAACTTAAAAATTCTTTTGATAAAATACTTAATTTTCCATCTATAATTATTAATAATATCGCTAATTAATAATTGATATTGTTAGTAATTTTTTAATAAAAATACATTAATAATTATATCTTAATAATAATAATTAAAAATTAATAGTCTATCAATTGTAAACTAATTGGGAAATAAAGTATAAAAATGTCTTTAAGGGGTTTAATAATTAAATGTAAGTTAATATATTGAATGATTTGTCCTCTTTTAATCAAATTTTAGCTTTTATTGATTAACTTCTTGTTGCTCCTTATCCAGCTGTTTCTTAGAATAATGTTAACTTTGTACTACGTGTTGTTGAAATATCTTCACCATTTATACCAACATTAAGTTAATTTAGTGTTTAAGGAAATCAAGCCTCTAATCAATCTAACTATTAACAAAAAAAATAAATAAATTCAACCTTAGCAAATAAAATCATTGATAATGCCATCTTTGACAATCAATTTTCTAGACAACATCGATTTAAAGCCATTCACTTATAATTTATTATAGGATAAGTCAATTAAATAAAATGAAGTTTGTCGAGAAATAGCTATTAATAAAGATAATTCAATTAAATTAGCTGGATGAGATTAATAAATAAGAATAATTGAAACAAACTCAACTTTTAAGTGAACATTCAGGTGTTTTTACAACTTTAAATTTGATGTAGAAATAGAATCAATTTATATCTGGGAGTATAAATGGATAGAATATAATATAGTCTATGAATGAAAATAGTTAATGGGAGTATTTGATGACTTGGGATTACATATCAAAGGAAATTTAAATAAGAAAAAATAATTAAGTATTAGGAAGAATGATTTATTATTATAAATATTAAAGTCTTTTATTCATTTTTTTTAATATTGTTGAAGAGATTTGTAAATTATATAATATTGCGATAAAAATGTACAATTAATCAAATTAAAAAGTCTGCAAATGTTCAAATTCATAAAAATTTCCCATAAGTATAGGTTCAAAATTTCCCAAAAACATCCAACCCTCTAATATTTTAAGACAAAATTATTAGTTATCTAAATAAAGGAGAAAGGCTAATTTGCAATCTAAACTTAAGATGAAATTTTATCTAATCTCATTTGATTTTGAATCCACCTGCAAAAAAAGATCCTCAAAATCTGATAATTTGATTAAAAATGTTTTAAAAATTACAACAATCAAATTCATATTTAATATTTTGATCAAACTTAATTACTTTAAGACTAAAAAAGATGTCAATTCTAAAAAACTGGCTAGATTTTTCCAAATTCAACAAAATATTTGATGAATTTAATGCTATTAGATTATAAAGCATATAAGTTTAAATTTGTAAACCAAACAATTACTACATCAGTCTTTTATCAGATCCAGGTCAAATTAAGTCAACTATTGGAATTTTTCAATATAAACATTTAAATGATCTTTATTGGGTTAAAAATGAAAGAGTTACTTTACATCATCTAATGAGAATTTTGTTTAAATCTACTCATCATCTATTACTCAATTTAGCTAAAGGCACCATGAAACAATGAGAGATTTTGAAATCATGTACACTAAATTCTATCAGTAAATTAAGTTGTCTTATTTAAAAAAGCTAGAGTAAACTAATTATATTAAATTTAAGAATTTTAAACGTCAGTTAATTCCTATTCTAATTACTAAGTCTTTTCATATCATTTTTTTAATTAGATCTATTAAATTTATTATACAATTCGCATTAGAAAGGAGTTTAGGAGGAAAAAATTAAACCAATATAAAACTCACACAGCATTAATTTTGCAAGGGTAAATATAATTTTATAATAATTATAATAGTTTTTCAGATATAAATAATTTCTATCAATATCTAGATTTACATTAAGACTCTTCTAATTAATTTACTATGTATTTTTCTTAAGTACTAAATGAAAAAGAATTACTATTTTCCTTACAATCTTTTTTTTGAATGTTCTACAATAAGCTTTGAGAATTTTATGATACTCTTTCATACTGATATTCACATACAATATATAAAATTAAAAGACACTTAATTTTGTTTTAAAAATATTTTATTTGAATCATCATTGATTGATCTAACTAAAACTAGTAGTGTGGTTAGAATATATTTTTATCAAAAATTGAATAAGATCTAAGTTACTACAGAATGGAAGAACGCCAACTCAAAAATATTAATTATATCTAAAGAGGAATTAAAAGGTTTTTGGTTGGATATTTTTTCAGCTTAATTTTAAAATAAAATATTTGTAGTTGATTGGCCTAAATTCTAAACAGATAGAAATAAATTGAATTTTTGATATTGTATGATGTTTATAATGTAATAGTTGAATAATTAACATTACTAATAAAAAATGTTTTTCAAGATTTTTTGTTGTGCTAATTGATAGAATCTTTATAGATTTTTTTTTTAAGAATTCCTATAGAATTTTGTAATTTTTATTTTAATTTAAACTTAGGTGCTTGTGAATTTTGGTATTAATTGGATTCCTATTCTACATTGATTGGATTTGGAAAATTGATATGAAGCTATTATTTTGTCTTTTCATAATAATTTCTAAATTTGATTTAAATATTTACTATGCTTTTAAAATTACATCTTGCATTTTGGGCCTATTGTATATTTTTTATTCTTTGAATTATTAAGTTGTTTAATCGACCGATTATATTGAATTTATAACTGATTGTAAGACTTTTTAATCAAATTTTGATTAGAGATTAGTTTATTCCAAGTTTTATGAGCACATTTGAATATTTGAATTTAAACTATTTGTTTTGTAAGCATCAAAATAGCTTTGAAACTCCTCTTTTAACTCTGGTGAAAGTTGCTCTAATAATTATTTCGCATTAAACTTTTCTTATTGTAATACTTAGTATAATTTAGAATCAGATTAATATTAATACTATTAGTCATACTGAATGCTATTTGATAAATTTGACTAAAGCACAATTTTATTTCTAGCAATTATTTTCATGGGATGTTGAGGATCATTTTTAAAATGTTCATTTACTGCTTTTAATGAGTATATTAAATTAATAAAGTATTAAAGATTTTCAAAAATATAATATCGAATGAGTTATTCTTCTTATTATTATTTTTGGTTAAGTTTTTGGATTTAAACCTATTTTTATTATTCACATGCTGGGTTATTATCGATGGAGCTTTGGGGTTTTTAATTATGATAAGCTGATCCACTCATAATTAATTATATAATGACGATAATATAAAATAAAGTCACTCTAAAACTGAAGTAAATAGAATTAAATTAATATTCTATTGTATTAAAAATAAAAAGGAAATTTTTGGAGAAATAATAAATTGAAAAGTAAATTCATTTATTAAATTTACTTATTTTAGAATGAATATCATATTTCTAATTACTATAATCTAGAAGAATATATTCTAATTCATTATTAAACATTCTTAAACTAATTTAGATCAATTGATTATATTCTAAATTTATTTTAATAATAACATCAATTAATATAGAGTTCATCATAATTAACTAATATCCAATATTGAATAATCGTTTCTTAACAATTTAAATAAATATATTTGATTTTTGTACCAAACTCAAAACTTGTATGAATAATACTCTTAAAGTTTCGTATAACATTGGGTGAATTAAGATTCTGTTTCTTCTCAATAGTTATATTAAATTAAAAATGCATATAAATTTTTTAAAATGTTAAGCAAAATAATTTTCTCCTAAATTAAATGAAATAATCTGATTAGATGAATTAAGTAAGTATAGAATATTCAATTATTTATCTTTTTCACATTTACTTTTTTTTGTAGCATATAGTTGATATTTTATATATAAAAATAATTAAACAATATAGATTAGAAATGACATCAATTAATATGACAGATACAAATTAATCATAAAATAGTCAGCAGGAGATTTAACAAAGCAATATGTTAATTGAAAATGCAGTGAAAATTCGTTGGAACATCTGGTGTGGATCTAGGCAATTTGTGAAAATATCTATTAAAATTAGAAATAATAATAATGAAGAACTTATTTATATCAAGAATGATAAAATATTAAGATAGTAAATATTCAATATTATAAATAGGGAAAAGATATTAGATTAAAAAAATAATATTGACTTAATGAAAAATGTAGAATAAATCAATCATTTAACTTGGAGAGGTTTATTTTCAAATTTTAACAACAAAATTGGAATATGGACTGCTTATTGGAAACTTTAAAAAATAAATGTAGGAGGATATTATGATTAGAAGAGTTAAAAATAAGGAAAGTGGATAGAGATTTTTGAAAATTATTGTGAGTAATTATCTCTATTTAAATACATAGTTTTGCAGATGCTACTTATATAGGCTAATATAAAAATGGATTAAAATTTGGTATATGGGAAACAATATATAAGAATAAAATAATGTAATATTAGTTTAATGAAGTGGTCTTGGATTATATGATACATAGGGTTCAAAAAATGGTGCATGGATAGATCTACATGATAATTTTTATGAGTATTTACAGATGGCATCTATATCTATAGTGAATGTTAAGTTACCTATTATGGTAATTATAAAAATGGAGTTAAATAAGGATCTTGGGTGACTAAACATAAGGGATACTATGGAAAAGAGTATCATAAGATGTATATTTTTATTTAATATTAGAGGAGGTGGATTATATAATGAAAAAGGTATGAAAATAGGAATTTGGAATGAAATTAATGAAATTTTCAATGAGTATTAAAAGATAGAATCTTAGCAACTCTTAAGTAACATTTATTGGTGTATATAACAATGGTAAGAAATAGTAAAGGTGGATAACAAACTTTTATGATTGTGAAGTGTATTTAACTAAGTAAATTTATTTAGTGGAGGAGGTTATTATGATAGCAATGGATAAAAAATTAATAAGTGGATTGTATTACATGAAAATTTTGGAGGGTATTATTGAATTTAATTGAAAGAGGTTGTGAAGTAATATATAAGGGATTTTACAAATTTGGAATTAAATTTGGTATTTGGGAAATATTGCATAGATAAGATGTAGATAATTAATTTTAAGTGATGTATTATTATTCCATTTAATCTAGCGGATATTAAATGTTTAATGAATATGGTGTGAAAAATGGCTATTAAACAGAATTACATGAAACATTCTTAAAGTAATAAAAAAAATAATTAATTAGTGATTATTAGATAATATATGTTGGATCATATAATGATGGAATAAAATCTGGTTAATGGGAAATCAAATATAGGGAAAGTAATACAGAGGAATTCATCAAAATGTATGCAATTGTATTATTAGTGGTGAGGGATAATATGATGAAAAAGGATTGAAAAAAGGTATATGGATTGATATTGATGATGATTTCCATAAGTATTATTAGAATAAAATTTAGTTATAACAAACAAATGACAATTGGATTATATATATCAGGAGAAAAATCAGGATAATTTATAACAAAAGAATTAGAATGAATAAATATTTTTAATTATGATAATATAAAATCATATTAGACAATGATCAGTCATTTACAATTGCCAGTTGTTAAATATACTGAATTATATATAATATGGAAATATGATGAGTGTCAAAAAATGTAATGATAATAGATTAATTCTATGTTTAGATAAATTTGATAACAATAACCAAAATACGTCCTTTACTATAAAGAGATTAATGTTTATATTTCTTCAGCAATTTCTAATCTATTTCCTAAAATAATATGAGAAAGAAGGGTAGGGATCTTAAAAGAAATAAAATAAAATCATCCTCATTTATGATTCCTGTTATTTATTGTTTTCATACAATTATTTGGTTATTAAATAATAATCTAGTAGCAATAATCAAATATAGCATATATAAACTATACTAAATTCTAATGCAATCCAATCAAATCTATAAATCATAAAAACATCTCAATTTATAGATAAACAATTAACAAACTCATGATTGGATAAACTGCTTAACTTAATAATTAGATTATAAATTTAAACATCATAAAGAGATCAGTTTTATTTTCAATAGAAAGCCAAAAATATCTGATCCTAGATATAATCATTAGTTTTAATAGATCAAAAAGTTTTTATTTATTAGATATGAAAAAAGGCTCTATAAATATTTATGCTTCTGATAAATTCGTCTCATTAAGCAAAACAATGCTTTTTTAAATCAATTATTTCAAAATTTGATAGACTAGATTAAAAGATTTCAAATATTGAAATTGGATTATAGAAAATCCTTTTGATTATATTATTAAACTATATATTGTCAGATATATAGTAAATAATTAAAATTTACTATTTGATTTTAATAAGCTTATAACTCATATTTTCTTTTTCTCTCTAAATGAGATATATAATAAATATCATCTTTGATTTTATTTTATAATCATTTTCATTTTTTCCAGATTTCTAATAAAAAAGATGTGACTACCCTAAAAATGGTTTAAAATATAGTAAAAATAAGAATTTGTTGCTGTAGTATAAATATGTGTTAACAAGAAATAATATATCGTAAAATCGTCTGGTGTATGGATTTATAAACTTAAAATTAATATTAGATAGAAATTATATTATATAATTTAAGTATATACCTATACAATTATTAGTTAATGAAATTTAATTTAGAGTAAGTAATTATTAGATAAGATTTAAATTAATTTTTGAAAATGTATTCATATGGTTTTTGTATTTCTATATGTATTTATTATTAAAATTTATATAATTCTTTTCTTCCTAATAAATTAGTATAAAATATAAATGTAAACCATCTAAATCACATTTATCTTATTTATAATGATCAGCACTGCAAGATTTGAATATACAGAAACATATAATTAGGCTAAATTGGCAGATAAAATTAATCAAAGGTCTTTAATTTTAATATAATAATAGGTATCATCAAACTTAACAATAAAACTGGCAACTCCAATAACAAAATAACACAACATTTGATTTAAATTTGACAAATTAAAAGGAAATTTAGTTCAAACTATGTTCAGATATAGTAGATCCTGAAGAATGTTCAAAAGTTCATCCGTCTGGTATTGATTGTGAATGGAATAATGGTGCATGTGAATCTAAACATTCTTAAAATAAAATTACCTAATTAATGCAAAAAGAAAAATATCTAAAGAAGCTTGAAAAATAAGTATCAAGAGATTAATGTAGAGAAATCTTTGAAAGAACAAATTGTTTAGTTTCTAAAATATATGGATTACAATGTGTTTGGGTGAATAATTAATGTTTAACAAACTGTAATGCTATATCTTCTCAAGTATTTTACAATTATAAATTAGGAATAATGCATCAGAAATATTGCTAATACAAATGCCTAAAAATGCTTAATCATTAAAAATCAAAATGACAATAATTCTCGTTTAAATTGTTCATAACTTCCTTCTGATTGCAAATATGATGATTTGAATCAATATAGTTGTACTTGGTAAAACAATTAGTGTCAAGTTGTTTTGTGTCACTAATTTTATAATGAATAGCAATGTAATGATTAATCATCTTGTTCTTGGCATGCTTCAATGAATATGTGTTTAACAAATACAGAACTAACATAATATGATAAGCCATGTGATATTTCAATGCAATAATCAATTGTAGGTATCTTTGCATTACTTCTTTTTATATATATGTGATTAATTAATTTTTATTTGTATATACTTAAAAATAGTGAAAATAATATTATATACCTACTTAGTCAATTGTTAAAATATTAATAGTAAATCATACAATTAATTTAATATTCTAATACCACTATTAGTTTATTAGTTTAGTTAGTATTTATGAGGAGAGATTTAAGATAATTTATATAAATCAAAATTCTTTAAATTCATTTATACTAAATCTAAATTGATGATATTATTTTTTCTTATCAAGGAAATGAAAATCAATCAATTTAATGAAAATATGACAACTTTTAATCATTTAATTTCAAGTAACATCTTATAAAATTCTATGATCTTTATGTACCTTTTTTATAAAATTAATTTTAATTGATAATTAATATAACAATTATATGAGATAAGATTATTAGTTATAGCTTTTATGAATCTAAAAGTTAAGAATAAGTTGATTAATTTATTTATTAGAAGGGATTAATAATTATGAAAAGGTACTAAATAAGAATTCAAGTTAAATAGATTTAGTGCTGATTATAGATCTAAAGAATTCAGTCTTTATTATCAAAATCTTGCTTTGTATAATTGTATTAAATCTAGCATAGAAAGAAATTAGTATATTACTTAATGACAAGATGACTAATAGATTAATTTAATCTATTAAACAAAATGGGTAATTAATGTATTTAAATTATAGATATATTCTAATAAAAAATAATTTTAAGGTTAATTAACATATCAAATTAATGATTTAATTCAATTTGAATAACATTTTAATTTTCTAATTTACATTTTAAGAAAGTTCTAAAATATTGTTTAAATTTACTTAATATCTAATATTATTCATTTAAAAGTTATTAGTAAATTCACTTAGATTTAAATATGTATATCAAATGAAAATGGAATTTAACAAATTTTAAATTTTAATATTCGTATAAATTCTGTTTTTGTAAATATTTTATAATTTTTTATGATAATTAAGACATTAAATACTTATGTATTAGATTTCCTCTTTTTGGAATAATTTAAAAAATAAAGTTCAAAATCTAGTTGAAGTTTAAAATAATAGTAATAAAGATAAAAGAATAATCTGCATATAAAATTTTCTTTTAAAAGAACTGAATTTAAATCATAAAGGAAAAGATCATTAAATAGAGAAATTAGTCTTTGTTCGAGATTCTCAACTAAATATAGGATCAATATAATGTTAAGATTGCTTTTAATAATAAGAATAGAGTAAAGACTATTAATACTCTTTAGATTTATTAAAGATTTTAGAAGATGTTTACTATTTTATTGATTAAGTTTCTACTTATTTTTAAAATGATTAGTAATTTTAAGAAGAGTAACCTTATCATTAACTTAAGATATTTAAGGTAATGAAAGAAACATTTGATATTAAATCTATAAATAAAGACATTATTTGGAAGATCAATACTTGTATTCTAGAAATAGAATCTCGGTTGTATTTCAGCATGGAGAATACTTTAGAATATTTTGGAAAGATTCATTATTAAAATATGAACAGAGTTTAGATGAATAGATTTATTTAGAATATTTAGAATTAGCAAAAATAAATTAATACTTACAGATCTTATATTAAATTATTGCCAACAATCATTTCTATAAGAAAATTTCATCCCTAATCTGAATATATTTATTAATAAACAGTTTCTTATTAATATCTTGCTATTTTGATTAATTATTAAATTATAATCTATAACATAAAAAGTGAAGTTAAATTCAGTAAAGTTAATGTGGATTATGAAAATAACAAAATTATACTTTTTAAATTTACTTAAGATGAAAAATATTTGATTTTTGCATATGAGAAACCAAATCATTTAATAATATATAATATGAAGGATAAGATAATATTAAATATACAAGATTAATAACCCTGTCTACATATGGCATGCTAAGAATATATTAATTTGAACTACTTGATTCTATATAATCAAAATTTAACTTTAAAAAAGTGTATTTCCTTAGAATATCAAACTTCTAATAATTTTGAACTAATAAATAAATTTTCTTTCCAAGAAAAATAAATCTAAACATTCATTTTTTATGATAATTAGGAAAAAAAATGGAAATCCTTAATAAGAAATGACTATGGAAGTATTGCTACAAAAAAAATTTAAATAACTAAAAAATTCAAACTTTAATTAGTCTAAACAAATAGAATGAATCGTCTTTATTATACTTTAATTTCCAATTAAAAAAAAAAAATAAGAAAAGTTGCTACTTAAGATTAATATTAATTGAATACTTACATTTTATCTAAAGATGAGACCTTTATAATATCTTCTTCATTATCTTTTTATGAAATTTCTACAGGAAAAATTACCTTTTAGATTAGACTAAACGAAAATGAAGAGCTCTAAGATGTACAATTAGAAGATGATAAAGTAAAGATTTTAACTTGGGATAATCTGTATATTTATGATCAAATTAGTTAAAAAAAGACAAATAGTTGAATATTTACATTGAAATGATTTTTAATTTTTTACATTTTTAATTTTATTAATTTATTTAGTCTTATTTGTAATTATAGATTATTAATATGTTTAAGATTATGTAAATGATCATAATTTTTTATAAATAATTTAAGTTTATTGACTTGTTAAAATAATTCTAAGAATAGAAATTAACTTAAGATTTGAAATTTATCATAGTTTGAAAAGAAATTATATTTTTATAATAAATTAATAATATTTATATAATTTATTGATATTTATTGATTTAATCAACTTAAAATTAGAAATGTTAACACTAATGCTGATGAAATTAATTCAAAATTAATTTATTAGCATGCAGTGCACTTTCCATTTATCCATTAATAATATCCATATGATTAGGATATACATGTTTCTTAATTTTAATTGGATGTATCAAAATCTTAACAATTTCCATTCTTATCATATTGACATATATAAGCATCAATCTAATTTATATATGGGAAAGCAAATAGACATAGCTAATCTCCTATTTGTTAACAAGAGGGAGCAGATAAACATTTATTTTATTATGTATTCCAAATACAATGATTATTTCCATATGCACAATTTCCATATTCTGCATCTTCACAATTTGTCCAAATTTAACATTTGTTGTCTTTATATATACATTTACCATCTATTCCTTAATAACAATTTGTTTAATCCAGTTCTGAGCATGATTTTTTTATTTGTTCTTTGGATTAACAAATTTTTGTTAAATTATTATAAGTGCAATCATGTTTAAGATTAGAGCAATCTTAATTATTGGAAACTTTATAATCCTAACAATTTGTAAATGTAGAACATTTCCCATTATTCCAAGCACAATCACTACTTTAACAAGCCTCGAAATTCATCTAATCACAAGATTTTTAAGAACAAGCCTAATTAACAAATTAGCATTTGCTAAAATACTAACAGTCAAAAGATGATGTCAATTATTCACAAGTGCATTAATTACCTAAATAAATTAAGTCTTGAGCTAATGACAAGGTACTTAAACAGAAAATTGTAGAAATTATTTGTGAAAAATTGTTCATAAATTGAAATAAAAATAATATTTAATTAAATAGTTAGTATAATCAAATCTAAATTTATTAAAGAAAATAAATTTAAATTTAAAATATGACAGCATTTAGATCAATAGAATTTCTTTAATGAATCTAATATTCAAATCATTTAGAATTAACATTAAATAAGTTATAATCTTTGAAAATCACTATATATATTTATAAATATATATTTTTAACTTAATATAATATTCATTTTGAGAAAAAACTAATCAGAAATCATATATATTAAAAAAAATATTAAAAATCTTATTTATTAATCTTAATAAATATAATGTACAATTCCATAATTCTATTTTCGGAGATACTTTAAAGTGTTGAAATAAAAATGATAGATATTGATAATGGATATTTGGAAAAAAGTTTATAATAACCAATATATTTTAAAATATTATATTTGTACTTTTATGATTTAAGAATTAACAGAATATGATATATTTCTTAAATTTTATTAATAATAATGNGGATATACATGTTTCTTAATTTTAATTGGATGTATCAAAATCTTAACAATTTCCATTCTTATCATATTGACATATATAAGCATCAATCTAATTTATATATGGGAAAGCAAATAGACATAGCTAATCTCCTATTTGTTAACAAGAGGGAGCAGATAAACATTTATTTTATTATGTATTCCAAATACAATGATTATTTCCATATGCACAATTTCCATATTCTGCATCTTCACAATTTGTCCAAATTTAACATTTGTTGTCTTTATATATACATTTACCATCTATTCCTTAATAACAATTTGTTTAATCCAGTTCTGAGCATGATTTTTTTATTTGTTCTTTGGATTAACAAATTTTTGTTAAATTATTATAAGTGCAATCATGTTTAAGATTAGAGCAATCTTAATTATTGGAAACTTTATAATCCTAACAATTTGTAAATGTAGAACATTTCCCATTATTCCAAGCACAATCACTACTTTAACAAGCCTCGAAATTCATCTAATCACAAGATTTTTAAGAACAAGCCTAATTAACAAATTAGCATTTGCTAAAATACTAACAGTCAAAAGATGATGTCAATTATTCACAAGTGCATTAATTACCTAAATAAATTAAGTCTTGAGCTAATGACAAGGTACTTAAACAGAAAATTGTAGAAATTATTTGTGAAAAATTGTTCATAAATTGAAATAAAAATAATATTTAATTAAATAGTTAGTATAATCAAATCTAAATTTATTAAAGAAAATAAATTTAAATTTAAAATATGACAGCATTTAGATCAATAGAATTTCTTTAATGAATCTAATATTCAAATCATTTAGAATTAACATTAAATAAGTTATAATCTTTGAAAATCACTATATATATTTATAAATATATATTTTTAACTTAATATAATATTCATTTTGAGAAAAAACTAATCAGAAATCATATATATTAAAAAAAATATTAAAAATCTTATTTATTAATCTTAATAAATATAATGTACAATTCCATAATTCTATTTTCGGAGATACTTTAAAGTGTTGAAATAAAAATGATAGATATTGATAATGGATATTTGGAAAAAAGTTTATAATAACCAATATATTTTAAAATATTATATTTGTACTTTTATGATTTAAGAATTAACAGAATATGATATATTTCTTAAATTTTATTAATAATAATGAATAAAAGTGATTATCATTAGATACAATTTTGGTTTATTATTAAATATTGGAGAAATTATATATAATTTCAAGGTTAAATAATTTTTTATGATAGGAAAAAAGGGAAAACTGTGTTTATAGATAATGAATAAAAAATACCACTTTATTTGAACAAAAAGAGAATATAAAAATATAAAGTCTAATTAATTATGTTAATTGATTATTTTTAATATTCAATTCTTTTGAATAGCTCCTTTTTAAATGAACAACTCTTGAATAGATTTTTTGGATTTTTGAATTTTGGATTTTTCTGATATAATACACTAATGTGCTTATATCATTGATTATCTTCCAATTGATTTATAACATAAAATCTGTATTTCTTAATCCTAATTTTATGATTTTCTTATAAAGTATAAATTTAAATGACCATTTTCAAAACCAGCTGCAAAATTAGTACTATCAGGACAAAATTTAATGACTTACACATCAGAGTCTAAATTTCCACTTTAAGCAATTAGTTTACCTATTTTTACATCCCATAAAGCTATTACATTTTCAGCTGTTTCAAAACATCTATTACCAGATACTAAGAAATCTCCTGTTGATAATAAAGATATAGATAAAAAAGAGTAATATTTTTTAACTATTTCAGGTTCTCCATAATAGATGTCATTTTCATTCTTTGATCTATCTTCCCAATCTTTTCTAACAAATTATAAAATTTCTCCTTTTTTATAAAATTAATTCTGATCTTTGATTTCCCATATATCAATACTAAATTTTTAACATTATACCATTATTTTCCAATTTTCAGATATTTCGATAAATAAATAATTTTCATAAATTTTTTCTTCATTTATAAGATTCAATGANGTATAATCAAATCTAAATTTATTAAAGAAAATAAATTTAAATTTAAAATATGACAGCATTTAGATCAATAGAATTTCTTTAATGAATCTAATATTCAAATCATTTAGAATTAACATTAAATAAGTTATAATCTTTGAAAATCACTATATATATTTATAAATATATATTTTTAACTTAATATAATATTCATTTTGAGAAAAAACTAATCAGAAATCATATATATTAAAAAAAATATTAAAAATCTTATTTATTAATCTTAATAAATATAATGTACAATTCCATAATTCTATTTTCGGAGATACTTTAAAGTGTTGAAATAAAAATGATAGATATTGATAATGGATATTTGGAAAAAAGTTTATAATAACCAATATATTTTAAAATATTATATTTGTACTTTTATGATTTAAGAATTAACAGAATATGATATATTTCTTAAATTTTATTAATAATAATGAATAAAAGTGATTATCATTAGATACAATTTTGGTTTATTATTAAATATTGGAGAAATTATATATAATTTCAAGGTTAAATAATTTTTTATGATAGGAAAAAAGGGAAAACTGTGTTTATAGATAATGAATAAAAAATACCACTTTATTTGAACAAAAAGAGAATATAAAAATATAAAGTCTAATTAATTATGTTAATTGATTATTTTTAATATTCAATTCTTTTGAATAGCTCCTTTTTAAATGAACAACTCTTGAATAGATTTTTTGGATTTTTGAATTTTGGATTTTTCTGATATAATACACTAATGTGCTTATATCATTGATTATCTTCCAATTGATTTATAACATAAAATCTGTATTTCTTAATCCTAATTTTATGATTTTCTTATAAAGTATAAATTTAAATGACCATTTTCAAAACCAGCTGCAAAATTAGTACTATCAGGACAAAATTTAATGACTTACACATCAGAGTCTAAATTTCCACTTTAAGCAATTAGTTTACCTATTTTTACATCCCATAAAGCTATTACATTTTCAGCTGTTTCAAAACATCTATTACCAGATACTAAGAAATCTCCTGTTGATAATAAAGATATAGATAAAAAAGAGTAATATTTTTTAACTATTTCAGGTTCTCCATAATAGATGTCATTTTCATTCTTTGATCTATCTTCCCAATCTTTTCTAACAAATTATAAAATTTCTCCTTTTTTATAAAATTAATTCTGATCTTTGATTTCCCATATATCAATACTAAATTTTTAACATTATACCATTATTTTCCAATTTTCAGATATTTCGATAAATAAATAATTTTCATAAATTTTTTCTTCATTTATAAGATTCAATGAATTTAAGTTTAAAATTTGAACTTAAGCTGACTTTGAGATTATTTCTTAACTATCTGGATATTTTTTTGTCTCATTAATTTAGACTATTGCAAGATATTGTCCACATGGGGAATGAGAAATCAAATCAATGCTATTTTTATTAAGCTTTGATAGATTTTATACTTCATATATTTTTTTTTTATATGTTTTTATAATTTTAATTGATTAATCTTCTTTTAAATAAGCTAAGTATTAATCATCTTCTGATAAAATTCCTTCACTGCCAATAAAAATATCTGATTTAATAACTTCTCTTAAATTTTAGATATCATGTAAAATAATTTAATTTTCAGGATGATTTGTTAAACAATATTTAGAACTAAATGAAAAAGATAATATAGAATCTTCAAATTTTATATTTTAAATCTCTTTAATATCATTCAGATTTGAGAAATCTAGAAATATCAAAGACTATTTAGAGGCAATAGCTAAGATTAAACTTGATTTGCATTACTAAAATGCTAATAAATCTCCTGTATATTCATAAGATCTTGTTAATTCATATGTTTATGCATTCCATAGACTTAAATTTGGATTTAAAAAAGCAAAATATTAGTTATCTTTTGAAAAACCGTATACTTATTTTGAAGCTAAAATGTTTATTTTATTTCCATCCTATTATTCAGGTTTGCTGTAGAATTTTATTGGTTAACCAACAATTCTATTAGAAATATTTAAAATTTTAATATTGTGTTTATTAAAGATAGTAATCTATTATTTATTTGGATTATATCTGAAACCATTTATTATGAATTCATCAGGCATTGAAAAATAATCTATAATTTTCAATTTTTCTTTTATATCAAAGACATAAATTGCATAACGTTATCCAATTATCAATTTAAAATCTTAGTAAAATTTAATAGAAAAAGTATATCCTTTATAAAAAAAGGGAATTTGATCAATAACTTCTAAATTAGAATTAGAAATATTAGATAGCCACAATTAATATTCATCTACATATGCGATCACTTTATCATCTTCTGAAAAACCAATCATTAGAGCATTTAAATTTAACTTGATTTCAGTTTTTTACTTTAAATTAAAAAGTTAATTTTTTTCTTAATAATAACTTTGTTCTTGTATGATAAATAAATAATTAAATTTATTTGAAAATAATAAATTACATCTTTTCAATTGAAATAAATTTGTCTAATCATAATTTATTAATAATTGAGAAGTTTTTTTTTGTAAATTCCAAATCAATATATTACCATTTCTGTATGCTGCAAAAATGTTGTAAGAATTTATTTTACAAAATTCAAAAGTGATTAAATTAGCATTATTTTCTTCATTTAATTGATATTGCTACTCAGGATGTTGAACTTCCCAATAATATATTATTGAATCTTCTTTTTCATATGATGCTGCTAAATACTTTATATCAAATGACAAAGCCAATATTTAAAAATCTTCGTATTATATAATACCCGCAAAATTATTTTTATTTTGGTTTTCTATATTATTTACATTGTTTAGTTCATATAATTTTATTCCACAATTATTACTTTTTGTGATTACATATGAACTGTCAGAAGAAATATTTTAAATTATTAATTATTATGGTGATTGCCTATCAAAATCATTAGCTGATACTTCATATGCTAAAACTTCTTTCTTTATAAGTTTAAAATCCCAAAAGGAAATTATTATAGCTGTTTCCAAAACTAAAGTATTTAAATCTGGAGAAAGCATTATTTTTTATACCATTGGTAGATAAGCTTGATCAATATCGATCTAATTTTTAGTTGACTCTATTCCCTCTATAGCAATTTTTCTTAAATTTTCAGAAAAATTTATTAAAAATATTAATTCTTTAGAACTCTTTGAGTTGATAATTGAAAAAAATGATTCATATTTACATTTTCTAAGAAATGTAGATTTTCCATTTATTGTATTTAATACAAATAAACTTTATTAACTTAATTTTTATTCATCACTTGAATAAATAAATTCATTATTATTTATAAAAATAAAACAGCATTTTTCTCTAGATCCATTTTTATTTAAAATATAATTTTTTTCCTAAATTACTTCTTTATTAAAAAAGCATAACTTCCCAATAAAATTAATAGAGAAAAAATTTTGATTTGTTGGTGATAAACAAATTGATTTACAAGAATAATCTAAGCTATCAATAAGAAATATTATTTTTGATTAGATAGGATTTAGTACATCCCAAATTCGAATAGTCATATTATCAAATCCTGAATATAAAAGTTTAGAACAATAAGAAAACTCTAAAAAGTTTATTTTTCCTTTATTATCCTTTAATTGGGTAATAAATTTCTTATCATATAGATCCCATAAAATTATAGTGTTATCAGAACTTCCGGAAGCTACCAATAGACCATCTTTCGAAAAAGCAATTGCATTCACTTATTTTTTATGACCTATAGAAGGATCATTTTATTCAAAGAAATCAATATTCCAAAGTCTTATAGTGTTATCTTCACTAGCAGTTGCCAAAACAAGTCCATCATAAGAGGAATTTAGACAATTTATCTTTTATCGATGTCCTTGAAAATTAGTAATAATTTTTTTGTTTGCAATATTCCAAATTTAAATAGTTGATGGGTCTTGAAAGAAAACTACAGCCCATAATTTTTTTTAAGGGAAATAGTGACTTAATAATATATCAAATTTAGAAATTTCCAATTAAAGAAAAATTCCATTTATTTGACCATTTTGAGATGGAACTAAATTAACTAAATAAATAATCCTATCAATTCCCTTTTTATTAAGTAAGATTAATTAGTTTTCATCAATTGCTTATATATATTCTATAGATAAATAACCATCAGATTTAAATGTTATAGGGTTCATATTCAACTTTTAAAAATCAAATGCATAAAATTATTCACACACTTGAAAATAAAATACTTCTTCTTAGTTCATAGAAAATAGATCGCAATTGATTTTAAATAAAGTATTTTGTTCGAAAATATTTTTAATTTTTATTTTTTGGTGCTATTTTTTTTTTAGAATTGCTAAATATTAGCTTTAGAAAAAATTAACATTCTAGAATTATTTCCCATTTTGATTACATCCTAAAACTTTTAAAGATTTATTCCCTTCAAGTAAATACCATCGTATAATTTTATCAGTAATAAAAAGTAATATTTTACCATTATCAGAAAATTTCAATGATATTTTTTTAATATTTTGTTGCTCAAATTAGTAATTTTATAAGTTTTTCTCACTAGAAAAATAGTCATTAGAAAAATCTATAAAAAATAAAAGTTTTTGATCTTAAATTTAAATCAATTAAATTTAATTATTTGTATATATAGCCATTAAATTCTCTTTTGGATGAAAAGTAACATCTATTATATCTTTTTTCTAATAACACTGTTGGGGATTTTTTGATATAATATTTAATAAATTTTATTTTTATAAAACCCCTAAATATTCCAAAGAAAAAGAATAAAATATCTTTATGATTTATTCTTTATAATTAAA